CAGCGTCCCCCTGGCCGGCATCTGGATAAGAGCTAAACTGAGAGCATTTAAGGGAGCCTGCCGAAGGTGGCATAGACATGCCTGCTTGCCTTGGTTCTTGGGCCCGGGGGATGGAAAAGCCAGTGCCCTGGTCTCCCAGCCAGGGGTGAATTCTGTTGCCAGCTGACACGCCCAGAATCTTCTTCACTCCCAGGCTGCAACTTCAAAGTCCCTTTCCCTTGGCCGTGTACACTTCCTAATTTGACATTTTTAGGCATTTTCCAAGGCTGAAATGCTCGTCATAAGTTGATGTATCTTCAAGATGTAAAACGGGTCCACAGCTTCTTTTTGGGACTTAACCTTGTGTCCCAGGGCCACTAGAGTTCTACTGCACTGGCGCCTAGGTCATGGGTAGTTGCAGTTAACCTGTCACATGGAGTTTCCTATTCTTTTGGAACTTTGAACCACAGTTACAGTGCTACTGCAATGTCTACTTCGTGAGAGACTCCCTGACCTCGCTAGGAGATGAAGAGAAGCATGGGCATTACATCTGCATTAAGGCAGAGGGAGAGCAAGCCAGAAGCCGCGCAATACCCTCTGGCACCCCCAGCCACCGAGCACCTAGAAGATCGAACATCTCTGAATGAGGACAGCCAGGAGATACCAAAGAACCAAGACACTGATGGTCCCACCAGGCAAATCAGGAGCGAGTCTGCTCTGCGGGCAACTCCCTTGAGGAATGACGACCTCCAGTAGCCCAGAGGGCTGAAGAGCAGCCAGAGGGCGTCTAGGTGCATGTCACCGCGGTGGCAGATGTCACTGTGCCTGAAGAGGTCCTCTTTGTCTGTTTTGCCCTACCTTCCACCCGGATGAATCCTTACAGTCCGTGCCTCCCAGATCGTCCGCGTGCACTCCACACAGCTCCCGTTGTCTGGGTGCCTGTGCCCGTCGTGGCTGCTGGGCCTGCTGCCTCCATCGCCATGTTCCGTCATCCCTGACTTTGTTCCACTGCTGTCCCAACTGCTGCTGTGTCTCAGAGTACGTGCCAGCTGCCAAAGGGCCCCAGGTGTACCCAGACTATGCCGACCTCCACAGATACACGAAGGCAAGCACTGGGTGGGAACATGTGCTGGTCAACGAAACCTATCAG